TCGAGAAAACACGCGGGCACACATCCGAGTGTATAACACGGTATCAGTCGGTTGACCAAAGGACTTTAGCCTGAGGATTTTTATGTATCCATGGGAAATTTTAAAGTGAAATTCTGTGCAGAATCGCATGTGAAAAAGTCCGCGAAATAACCAAGGCGTACTATAGCTTTTCGTAGTGCTCAATACACAAGATACAACTTCGAATTACATGTCTTCGAAAATATAAATTTATACATAACGAAGAAGAGAGATTAACTTTTTTGCACGTCTCCTCCAGCGCGAAGTTGATCAGTAATTCAAGACACAGATTTTCAGACTCGGTGTTTCCCGATGGAAATATCAGTTCCTGTTTTACGTCAATTCGCACTTCTCTCGATAACCAAAATTCTTCGAGTACCAACGACGTGACACGCATACGATCGTCGACCGAGTCCCACGAAAAAAACGAACAACTTCGCGTTCGCTTGGAATTCGAATTCAAACCGGAGGACACGCGTATTATTCTAATACGAATAATGGAATAATTCAGAGACACACCCCAAGAGACACTCTCGTATTTGTTCGTCGTTTCTTGAACTTTCGAGGGTCGATGCGAAGGCTCATGAAAAATTTCCAATCGCCGTCTCGCCGCCCGCTATATTAATGATCCGGCAACGTAACGGGGTCACCGGTCGATCACAATGAACCGCCGCTTTCCTCCGCGATTCTACGAGAGTTAAACGTCCATTCTTCGCGAGGCTATCGCCACGACACACTACCACCACCGCCACAACCACACGTACACACGGCGACGAAGGAAAAAGGAATTGAAAGCGAGTACCGCTAAGAAAGCTCTTGATCCAAACTCATTAGTCCGGCCGCGGCGACGATCGAGCAGACATCGATCAGAAGGTTTAAGTCGCAGCCGGTTAAAAGGCTGGCAGCAGCAGCAGCAGGGAACGCGGTTGTGGAACGGGTGGAGGATGGGGGGAGGGAACCAGCCGGCAGATTAGGTTGGGCTCGGTGATAAGTGATCGCGGTTCCCGGACTGAAACTCTAATTAATACCTCGACGCTTCGTTTGAGCCGGTGACTTACGGGGCTGTCGGCCGGGCGCAGAATTACGCTCAAACTGCCGGCACAGCGGCGTTGTCCTTCAGGGGGGCGGTTCGACCATTTGTTATCGAAGGGAGTCGAAACAGAGAGCGGCGCGGCCACGAGAGCCCTGCTGGCTCTGCACACCACCTGCGCGATCGTTCCTTCCCGACCTTCCCAACGGCGAATTCTCCAGCCCAGTTCTCCGGATGCGGCGATTCAATCGCTCGCGTTGCATCGCCCATTCTCGACGCGACGCGGCGAGGCGAATTGATTTCTCGAACTCTATCTCGGCCACACCGACGAGGCGGGAACGATAACGAGACAACTTCGTTTGCGAATACTTTGCTCGCGGCTCAATGAGCGACTTTGTTACAAACTGATAGGAACGATGGTTAATAGGCGAGGGTGTAATTGAAAGTAATTTCTAAATTTTTTTTAGGAGGAAGGGCACCATTTCGGACAGGTTGCGTACCATTTCTTTTTATTGTCGAATTTATTGCGGCAAAATAAAATTATATTCATCGCCATCTCTTTGCTGTAGAGGACCCTCGATTTGTTTAAATTTGTTAATACTAATCCTTGTAATTCTTGTCGAGATTGGTCGTAAATTACTCGTACAGTGAATCAAAATCGTCGATCGAATAAAATGTGAATTAAATGAAATTAATTCTCGAGCCGAATTCACTAATACACACGAGTGTGTCGATTTCGCACTTTTTCTACAAGAAAGAAGGTCGACTCTTTTCTTTCCTTCTCGAACGTGTCTCGATTGCGAATCAGACTGATCGATGTCTGCCTAAAAGGACAAAGAAGGAATTGTGAAAACGCGCGATTCAGAGCTAATCTCGTTAGTTACGCACCGTGGTCGTTAAAAAAGAAAAAAGAAAGAAATATTCTTTTCTCTCTCTCTATATATATATATAAGGTCGGAGAGTCGAAAAGGAGCGATTTATCTCCGCGACTCCGTGAAACGTAAACGAAGCGTCACGGTCGGGAAGTTCTCTCGAATTCAGGTTTCTTTTCACGATTCGTCACGAGTCACGAATTTACAGAGTGGGCGAGCCAGTCGTTCTCCTTTCATTCTTCCGAAAAGGGGCGTACGTTAGTGCCTTTAGCCTTACCTCGGCTCGGAACGTGGCTCCACAGTCAATCCAGTGTCCGCTCTGTATTATGCGCTTTACTGCATCGTCGCGACGCTTCGTGTATGGACTCGTCGCTCATAAACGAGCGAAAGTTCCAGACGAGACGGACAGAAACGGAAGCGGAGGACAGGAAGTCGCGAAAGCTGATAGATATTTCTTCCGCGCGCTTTCCACTCGTCGTTTAATCAACAGTATTTTTTTTTTTTACCAACGTATGTATTTGGTTACGGTACGTCTACACGTTTGATATTTTCGTTGTTGGAATTTAACGATAATTTAACCAAGTGGAGACACACCACTTCACTAATCATTTCGAATGAAAGACAGATGACTGCGATTGCTTTTCATTCGGAACGATCAACGGGTATGTCTCCGTACGTGTAATTAATATTATCGTTGGATTCCAATAAAAGAATACCAAACACGCGATTCAGCTACTCTGAATTGTTCCGATGCATGTTAAAAGTCTGAAGGTGAGTTTATATTTCATTTTCATTTTCTGGATGATTATCGCGGACGTTGTTATTATTGGGAAAGCATCACTCGCATTTCATCTGAAACGCGATCTAAAGAAATGAAAGTCAAAATTGGGGATTTATTCTTGATGAAAGTGATGTGAAAATTATATACTTTTATTTGTCGCTGCAAGAACAGTTACATCGAATATTTTGGAACAGTATTTTTTTCAGGATTTTAATAACAAACAACAGAATAGAACTCGAGGGTATTTATAGTCAGAAAATGAAGAATTCCAAGACATAGTGAATTTAAACTGGTGGGAACTGAATTCGACGAATAAACTGATATAAACACGTCTTTCATCTCTCGCATTTGTTGGATAATGGATTTCAGTGATTGATTATTCACTCTCCCATCACGTCATTCGCATATTGACAGTTTTCATCTTTCTTGGTCCAATAAATAAATGAATGAAGAAATATCAAATATCTAGAAATTAAAAACAAATATATGTATGTATATATGTATGTAGTTATAGTTAAATATATATTTTTTTTAATTTTTAGAATTGTTGATATTTCTTTATTCATTTATTTACAATATTTATATATTTTTAATCATAGAAGATTACTTCATACGTAATTACGATACGATAAGCATTTTTATTTAGCAAATGTATCGTCACAGACTTGGAACGAACTTATATAATTTCGTTCTTCGTCGAATGTACATTATACAAATTCAATTCAATTTTCGTCATTCGAATTTTTTATTCTGCGACTGGACTGAAACACCGATTACAAGCCACGTATTTACAAGCGAATGTTAATTCGTTTCACTGTAATACTAAAATACCAATGATACTAAAATGTTGACACAAAGAGTAGATTTTTTTCATCAGCACTGATGGAGGATCCTGCGTAATTCAAGATAGATTCAAGATAGATGTGGTATGTATATACGTGAATCTATCTCGAATTAGAATTCTCCATCAGTTCCTAGAATCTTTCAGACACAGATGTAAAAAGATTCCCTGAGAATATTCTTGAGTTCGTGTGCCAGAGACCAGAACCATGTATATGGTTTGCGAAAGTAATTGCAAGAAGAATAATCAGAGTGGCGCGACGTTTTCGCAAAGCAGAGGCGTACATCCGACAGCAGACAAATTCCAGCTTGCACAATATTCGCGTAGTAGATTCTAGAGTTACGTTATGAGAGAGAACATATTCAATACATAATATATTCCGACCGAAAGAAAAAGTATCGAGGAGAAGGAAGCTCGGTCAAGAGTGAACGGCGAAGACGAAGAGGTAGACAGGTAGAAGGTCACGCTGTGTCCTGTTGGAACCACAGTTGGATGACGAAGGTTATTTTACAAAAGTACGCGGCCATCCTTGTGTCGTTTCCCTCTGTCGTTTCTTATCTCTCCGCCGTTCCACTTTTACCTTTCGGCGAAGACAATTTGCCGTCGTTCGCGATTCTCGAGTCGAAAGAAGGCCTGCCTGGTGAAGAGGAAACAGAGGGGGGGACATGAAGGCTGAAAACTTTCGTTCGTCGTGAAACGAATTGTTAACGAACTGAGTGGACAGAATGGATAGAATAATATTTTTTCAATTAATGCGCGAGAGGAAGAACACGAAGGAAGGACAAAGATGAGACACGAAATAAACGAATAAAGGATCACAGGAATTTTCGAATGACAGAGAAACGAGCTCGGAGTAGAATAATTTTTGTCAACGACTAATTTATATCGAGGAGGAATAAAGGTAAATGGCAGAAGTCTGGTTAAATTGATGAATGGAGCGTATAGAGAGAGAAAGAGAGAGAGAGAGAGAGGATAAGATTTCCGTGGAAGATCGGTCAAAGTTCCACGACCCTTTTTCTTTTTTCTTTTTTCCCCCCCTTTCCTTTCTTCCACCATCTTCCGTACACTTTCGTCCCAGTCGGTTTCGTAGCTGGCCTCCGCTTTTCTTGGAATTTTTCTCTGCTCTTTGTCAAGCAGAAAACTTTCGCTCGATTGAACGGACAATCAACGACGATATACCGCGTCTCCGCTAACTTTTATAAATAACTTATGGCCATTGAAAAGGATAAACAGTGAGTGGGCGGGCGGGAAGCGGCGGGAAGAATGAAACGGGAGAGAAAGCCGGCTGCTTTCACAGAGCAAGAATAAATTGACTTTTACGATAATTCGTCCCTTTCCCCCATCTCTCGCGAGTTGAACGAAAATGATAAATAAAACATGGAAAATTATATATAAAAAACAGTTTCTCCTTCTTTGTTTCAGGTAAGATTTCCGATGGAATGGAAGACCTCCGTCAAAGCTGACTTAATCCCTGTAGAAACGTGAGTAACGTAGAAATCGGCACGCAAGTGATACGCATCTCGATTAGTCAGACATCGTTGCTCGATCGCTTATCGCCCGTTATCCCAATAGTTTAGAATCGTTGCAATCGTAATCTCTCGTTTGCGAACGTTAACGAAGTTTCAAGGATGTTTTGTATACGCAACTTTTGTGACTCACTGCACACGCTCCACCTCGACGTTTATTAGATTAGACAGTCGACTCGTAACTCACCCCGGCGAGCGTCAATTGAAATTTTCCGTACGCGTGCAATCAGCAGGCTGGACTTGTCATTTCCTTCGCGCGGTCACGCGTCTACACCCTCTCCCCCCCCCCCCCCCCCCCCCCCCCCCCCCCCCCCCCCCCCCCCCCCCCCCCCCCCTCCTCCTCCCTCCGCCTTGCACTCTGGTAGAAGCTGACCAATCCGAAGGGTGAGACGAGCGAAACGAACCCTCGGGCTTTCGGGTTTTACCGTCGGGGTCAGCTTCCACACAAGCGAGGTCGGTTTCCAACCCCCTCGACCGCCTTGAAACCCGAGGGGTTAGAGACGGCGGTTAGACGCGGCCAGCCGATTAAGACGTCGATAAATAATATTAATTGTCGGCCAACTCTCGTGCCAAAAGCACCCACTCTTCCTCCTCCTCCTCCTCCTCCCCCATCCCCCTCTCCACCCTCCCCCTGCTCGTGCCGTGGAGAGACGCGGTCGAGAGCTGGTCGAAGGGGTGGGATGCGTTGCGTTTAATCAATACCCACGTAATGCTGCTGCTGCGGATGGATGATGGCGATGCTGGAGTGCGGGAAAGACGGTGTTGATGGAAGTAGAGCGTCTGTGTCGATGGTGGGTGGCGGTGGTAACGACGCTGGTGATAGTAGTAGTCTGTGGCGATGGTGGCGATGGTGGTGGTGGTGGCGGTGGTGGTGGTGGTGGTGGCGGTGGCGGCGGCGACGGTGGTACCGATGCTGTTGCCTGTAAGTTTATTACGTAAGCCGGGCCTCCTCGACGCGCTGAACGCAGCCTCGAGTTGTGTAATTAAAATTAATAATTCCGCGGCCTCGATGCAGCCTTGTCAGACGACTCTATTTGCCTTGCTGCCTGCCCCCTCCCCGCGTTTCGTCTTCTGCTCGTCGGCGTCTTCCGCGTCTTCTACTTAATGCTCCCCGATACCGATTCCACCTCCGGTTTCTCGAACGCTTGTCGCGCGGCGTCTCGACAATGGTGCTTGTAATCGCGCGAAAGTGCCTCCACTCGTCGAACGCTCCCCCCCCCGGGGGGGGGGGGAAGAGGAACTTTCGTCGGGGCGAAAGCCGACCATACGCCGACCGTACGTCCGTACGCTTGGAAATTTTCGTGCTCGTCTCTCTATTTTCCTTTCCCCTTTTTCCTTTTCTTTCCTCTAAGTCTGAGAAAGTTCCGCTTTGTCGGTGAAACGAGAAGCCGTTCCGTTGTCAGGGCGCGAATAAAAAATTCAGCGCGCCTCTTCCCCTGATTCCACGTGTGTTTTCTTAACGAGACGTCTGACACGACGTTTCCGGGCACGACCGCCAGCGCGGAGCGTTAATCGATCGATACAACGTAAAACCCCCTCGGTTTTATATTTAACTTTCTGCCTTCTTTTCGCCGCGTTCGAATCTGTCGTTGTCGTACTCGTTACAAGTGCAACGACCAATCTAAGTAAATAAAATTTATCTCAACGGAAACTTGAACACTCGAGCTCACCGAAGAATCGTATTTCGATCTCTCTTTGTCGTCGACTTCGTCTAATACTTTTGTCGAACGAGTCCCCGGGATATACGTACCCGCGAGTCGCGTTTTTCGGATCTGAAGGATCGCCCGCGCTGGTATATAGGTACTTGAGACGAGCACTCGACCCACGCAGGTGCTCGGCGCGAGCGTTCGCGCACTCGAAAGCACTCGCGCGAATGCTCTCGTTTTTCAACGCCGTCACCGCCGCCAGCCAACGCGACAATGAGCGCTCTAATGCAGTAACGATTACTCCGGGGGGAGGGGAGGGTTGGTTTTTTAAGGTGTGCGTGCTAAGTACACGATCCGACGTGTACTCGAGCCGTGTATGCGCGTCCTTTTGCTCTCTGCGAGCATCTCTGGCATCTGGTCTCTTTGTCATTCGTTTCGCTGGAAACGATCTCGACAGTCGTGTTTAGATTTGCGGCGAATTTCGAGGACAGATAGGATAAAGTCCGTGTCGAGTCGATCAAGACTGCCTCTGCTTTTGTGAAAGTCCAGTTTGAAGGTTGTCGGTATAATACGAGGTAACGAATAACAGGTAACGACTCGTCAAGAGCGACAATTTCGATGTTCAACGCCGAAAAAATTAAAATGAACAATTTTCGCAGAAATTTTCTTATTTAACGTTCGCATCTTTTTGTTCTACGCGCGAAATTACGTTGACTGTACAAAACTCGTTTCGGAGGGAGGAACGAGAGTTTCGATACATTAGTCAAATTCGATTCTCTCGAAAATATTTTGTCCTGCATATCCTCGACCGATTCTCACACGAAGAAGGATTTCCTCTCCGCTCGGAAATTAAGCAAATTCACGCGTGCCTGACAAGTTTTCAAACTCGATTCCCTCGAATGCGAGACCTCCGACGTAATCTTGTTGCTCTCAATTTTCGTCTTCTTTCGAACCATAGAATCTCTCGGGCTTCGCTTACGTCACGAGAACCACGATGCAGATACCGTGGAGTGCAATAATATCTTTGTCGAGTTTGACATTGATCGTGGAAAATACGAAACGTGGTATCGCGTGTAACGTGGCGCGGAGAGAAAAGGGGGTGGAGGGGAGGAGGTTGTTATAGTTCTTTGCAACTTCTATGGGGGTTACAAGTAAAGCATAGAGGGAAAGGAGAGACTAAAGTGGTTTCGAATCCGTGCCTCGTGAATGTAATCTCGCTGCCAGACGGACAGACTGTCGCATGGAGGTTACCTTCTTATGAATTTTATATCGATAATTTCCCTCCGTCCTTACACTATAGTTAGGCTCGACAGACCCGAGAATAGGTCGAGTCTTCTAGAACTTGTTGTATCAAGGTCAATAGCCCTTTCGCGCATCGTGTCGCACGGAACGGGAGAGTCTTGTGCGGAAAGCATTGAGCTGTACTACTGCGAACGAGCATTCTCCTATATTTTTACCGATCCGGGGACTATTCTATTCGGGGACAATTTCTTTTTTACTCGCTGCAAAGTCTCTGGTTTATCCTACGGTGAAATTATTCGTCGTTAAACATTTGGAACGAGAATTGAAAATGTTTTGAGGTGCCGAGTGTGCACGTGTCAAACTGGCAATACGGAGAAAATTAGAAATTGGAATTCGAAATCGTAAATATGAAATGTCGATAAAGATAGTTCGGGAAAAATTATTCTATTCGGGGACAATTTCTTTTTTACTCGCTGCAAAGTCTCTGGTTTATCCTAAGGTGAAATTATTCGTCGTTAAACATTTGGAACGAGAATTGAAAATGTTTTGAGGTGCCGAGTGTGCAAGTGTCAAACTGGCGATACGGAGAAAATTAGAAATTGGAATTCGAAATCGTAAATACGAAATGTCGATAATGATAGTTCAGGAAAAATGTGTCCTTTTCGCCTGTGAAGTATTCAATTCTCACCTGGTATTGGCTCATGGCTTATAGATCGTGGTACATTCTGACTACACAATTTCCAGTATAAAATCCAAGGTGAAATTGAATATGATCCAACAACATTCGAGGGTCAAGATTTTCACTGCTTTTGACGTTCCGTGCAAATCACCGAGCGCGTAAATAAATTTCTAGAAGAGGAACGGCCGCGGGATCCTCGGGAAGAAAATGTTTGAGGGAGGGAACACCTGGCGCGACGCGTGATTCCCGCATAAACAACGAAAAACAGTAGAAAAGCCAGCGAGATGATGCCAGCTTGGCGAGCACGAGGTTCGGTCGCATAAGGTCGCGATATTGCGCCCATCTCCCATAAAAGCAATAACACTCGACATGGTAATAAGATTCTCTCCGTTTGCGCGCAGCTCTCATCGATTCCAGTTATAGCGCCGTCCGTTGCAATAACAAAGAGAATAGTAATACGGTAACGTACCTCTCGTTATCGGGCCTCTCGTATAAATCGCACGAAACTGTCGTCTCGCCGCGCGAATTCGCTCGATGAAAGTTCGACACCGGAACATCCAATCTGGGAACGATGATAGCGCATCGGAAAAACGCGGGTTTCGTTTTTTTCTTTCTTCTTTTTCTTCTTCTTCTTCTTCTTCTTTTTTTCGGTAATTCACGAACGGCCCGGTGCCAGAATAATTTTCATGCTCGATGAGTCGCAATTTCCAGGCGCGCAACGTGCACACGTGATATAGATATAATTCCGCTTACACTTCGTTAATGCGATGCAAATTTATAAGCAAATTTCAGCATAACCGCGCACACGGTGCGCAACAGTTTGTACGCCGGCCCTTTATTATGCACGGTTACGGTTTAACGGTGTTTAAGCTGGCCGTAATCAATTTTATTGGGGGCTCCAGACCGGAAACCTCGGCGATAAATCTATCGGGATCGGATTTTTCGACGCCAGCTGCGCCGCGTCGTTCGCCGCTCTCCCGCGATGTCCCGCCGAATCTGTCACGTTCTTGAGTAATATCCGACTACGGAACACAGTTCGCCGCGATGAATAAACTCTGGTCGCCGATTGGAAACTGGTCTCGTTGCGGGATGGGAAATCGAACGCGTACTTGCCCGCAGCTGTACACAGGTGAAAAGACTTCGCGCGAAAAAAATTTAGCGTCGCGCGATCTTAAGCGAATACAGTAAATGAATAATATTTCTGTTATGGTACATGTATTTAGGAATGTAGCACTTGCTATTAGCCACAAAGAAAAACAATTTACATTCGTTTGTTAGCAATTGATCTTTCTATTGAAATTGTGCGACTCATGCGTACACACGTTCTTGGTAGAGGCAAATATTTTTAAATTTTGAAGTAGGACAAAAAATAATTATCCCTTTTGTTT